AGCCAGGGCTACACAGTGGAATCATGTCTTGTGGGGGGAAGGGAGGGTCTGTAGAATAAAAGACTCTGAGCCACAGCTGCTGTTCATCCTTGATGAAATGATTCATCAATGCTTGCACAGAGGGCCCCATTTCATCTTGTTTTCATCTCATTTGTGTCTGACAACTGGAGTTTGAGTGCCTCTCCAATGAACTTGTAAGTTAAACTCAGATTGTGTGATTAGCTCTCTTGAACTGTCATTGTAGTGGCTATACCAGAGAACATGAGTTAATGCACTATTGCCATGCTCCCCCAGAGTAGTACAATCATTAACTTGGGGGGGGGCACGTTCGTATTTTTCTAATATAGAATATCAGCAGTTCTCAAGGTAGTTAAATTAACAAGTTTATGGATACAGGAAGCATAATTTAAAAGTTTAAGGCAGTATACCTATCACTCAAATTTAGAAGATAATCACTGGAGAAAACGGAATGTCTACTCTATCCAGGAAAATCAATACCCCCCAATAAAGTACTCAGAAGTTAGTCTAAAATTAATAAGGTGTACATAGTAGTACAGCTTATTAAATATAGGGATTTAAAAAAATTTTTCCTTCTTCAAACAGAATCTAACAAAAAGTTATAGATTAACAGGAATAGATGATAAAATGTTATTCATAACAGGAAACCCTTCCGAGACTGCAATGTAGCCATTATTCCTTACATGTCTTAGGTTAGCTACAAAAGATATCAAATGGTATAAGAGCAAAGACAAGCAGACTACATCTACAGTAGGGGCTCCAAGTTTGGAAGGCAGAGTTAGAGAAGAGTTATAAATAAGCAATTGTAAACATCTTCTATGGTGATCACAGCTGAGAATAAAACAAGGTGAAATTTAGAAAATTTTAAAAAATAAAACTTGTACCTTTTTTTTCTCTTGCGGTAAAATCTCATTATGTAGCTCTGGCTGGCCTTGGATTCATATCTGTCTGCATCTGTCTCCTGAATGCTGGGACTAAAGGTGTGCACCACAGCTAACTGGATACCCACACTGCAAGAAGCAGACTTAGCTTAACAATGACCTCAAATGAGGTCAGTAAGATGGCTCAGCAAGCAGAGGTGATCTGAGTTCAATCCTCAAAACCCACATAAAGGTGAAAGACTGAAAAAGTTGTCCTATGAGCTTCACATGACAGAAACACCATACCTACAAGTCTCTTTTTCTCTGTCAGCCCTCCACACACAGTACACACATACTCTCTAAATTTTTTTTGAATTAATCACAGACTTAAACATAAAACTCAAGATTATAAAACTTCCAGAAGGCCAGGCGTTGGTGGTTCACGCCTTTAATTCCAGCACTCCGGAGGCAGAGGCAGGTGGATCTCTGTGAGTTCGAGGCCAGCCTGGTCTACAGAGCAAGTGCCAGGATAGGCTCCAAAGCTACACAGAGAAACCCTGTCTCGAAAACCAAAAAAACTTCTAGAAGATACAGAAGAAAATATAGGCAAGCCTGGGCCTGGTCATCACTTTTAAATACAGTAACAAAGGCTTAATTTCACAAAATAAACCGGACTACATTCAAATTAAAAACTTCTGCTTGTGAAAAGAAACTGCCAGAGCCAGAACTGAAGAGATGGCTCAATTTCTACAGGTGCTTTCCAAAAACCCCAGTTGTTGGAGTTCAGCTCTCTGAGATGCATAAAAAAGCCAGTTCTGGAAGCACTTACCTACACACAAGCCAGTGTTCCTAAGGCAAAATAGGAGGTAAAGATAGAGGAACTGCCTGGAAACTGCAGGGGAGCAGCAGAAATAAGAGATTCTGCCTCAAAACAAGGTGTAAGAGGTGAGAACCAACTCCTGAAAGCTGTCTTCTGACTTCCACACAGTGACATGTGTAAACATGTACTCACATTCACACACATACAAACACACACATTTGGAGAGGAGGAAACTGCCAAGGTGGGCAGGGAGAAGTATAGTTTTTGAGAAAATATACAGAAAAAAAAAAAAAAAAAAAACTTACCAAATAAAAGACTATAATGCCGGGCTAGAGAGCTGGCTCAGCAGTAAAGAGAACTGGCTGCTCTTGCAGAGGACCGAGATTCATTTCCCAGAACCCACAATGGTGGTTCATAACCACCCATAACTCCAGTCCCAAGGCATCCAATGCCCTCTTCTGGCATCTGTGGGGCACCAGGTATGCACGTGTCACAGACATACACTCAGACAAAACTTACATACACATAAAATAAAAATAAATCTTAAAAGAAAAAGAGAGAGTACTATTGAAAATGAACAAACAACTCCTGAAGGCCAATTATTTAAAAAAAAAAAAAAAAAGAAGGAAAAACGGACATCCTAATTTTAATAAAAATGGTTCAAGAAACAGGGCACACTTCTCACCAAAGAACATATTCAAATGCAGAAAGACTTCTACATCACATGCAATCAGAGAAATACAAATTACAACAACAGTGACATACTGATATGCACCTATTAGAATGGCCAAAATCTAGAAGACTGGCAGATAACACAAACTGCTGGTAACAGCAACTGCCCTTCACTGAGGCAGTGTGACAGCTTCTTACAAAATTTAACATACTCTCATCATAATCCAGCAGTCACAGAGACAAGATATGCCCACAGAAAAATACACAAAGTTCATAATAGTTTTCACTCATAATTGCTAAAACATGAAGCAACAAATACATCTTTTGGTTGGTGAATGGCTATATGCAAATTATGGCACATACCATTTAGTTCTACAAGGAAATGTACCATAAGCCATGAAAACACATGAAGAAATCTCCAAAACAGATTACTAAATGTATGAGGCCAATCTAAAGCAAGTGAGGTTGTTTGGTTAGAAAACACCCTGCCGGCAAGCTTGACCACACTTGAGTTTGATCCCTATTACTGACAGGGGTAGAAGGAGGGACTCAATTCCTGTTAAGACGTCCCGTGATCTGTATGCAAATGCTATGGCCCCAGCACACAAGTGAATGCAGGTGTGTACAGGCGCACACTAAAAACATTTTTAATGTCACTTTTAAAGCAAGGCCCATTTGATGCCTGGTGGTGGTGGTGCACACCTTTAATACGAGCACTTGGGAGACTTGAGACAATCGAATTTCTGTGAGTTTGGGGCCAGCCTGGTCTACAGAGCTAGTTCCAGGACAGCCAGTGCTATTATACAGAGAAACCCTGTCTTGAAAAACCAAAAAACTAAAACTAAATAAATAAAGACAATGCCCACTTGAAAAGATTTCAACTTTCTGGCAGTCTTGGAAAGGCAAAACTATGCAGACAGCAGAAAAGATCACAAGTTAGCCAGAAGACAGTGTAGATGGATCAGAGACTACTTAGAGCAGTGAAAGTATACTGTATGATACACACGTGCATACATGTCTTTGTAGAAATGTGTGTCTCAACTCTTAGAAAGTACACTATCAAGAGTGAATTCCAAAGTAAACAGAATCAGGGTAATAAAAATTTGCTAGTACAAGTTACAAAGTACAACTAACAAATGTAGAACAGACAAAAGAAAGAAGAGACATGGGACAAACTTGACTGCTAAAACACAACTACCACCAAAACGTAGCTTCCGGTCTGTAACTGAGCACTCAAGAGACAGAGAGGTAAGATGATCAGCCAATTGAATGCCAGCCCAGTCTATATATCCAACTGTAAACCAGTGCTACATACATAGGGAGACCCTGCCCCAAAAAGCCAAGAACAAAAAGTATGTAAGCAAAAAAAGCACAAACCAACAAAACCTGATGTGAGCAAGTCTGTGCATCTGTAAGAGTAGAAAGCAAAAGGAAACGCCATACTTTACAACCAATTGGAACCTAAAAGTATTCTCCAAAAGGACATTTAGTGTCTGGACACTGCGTGCAGGTATGTGCATGCACTTGTAGAGATCAGAGCTCACTTTAAGGGTCTTCCTTGATCACTCTCCATGGTTTTTTTTTTTTTTTTTCCCTCTTGAATGTATATGTATTGTGTGATGTCATGTGTGTCCAGAGGCTGAACACTGATGTCAGGTGTCCTCCCTTACTACTATCCACTGTCTATCAAGGCAGGCTCTCTCACCAAACCCCTAACTTGCCAACTTGAGCTAGTCTAGCTAACCAAGGATCCTGTCTTTGCTTAAGTGCTGATTATAGGTGGCTATCATGACGGCTCCAACTTTTACATTCTGGGGATTTGAACTATGGTCCTTATGCTTATTATATATTTCCCTACTACTTCTCCCAGCCTAACCCCATCAATATACCCCTCTGTCAACCCACAAAGTCCAGATACTAACATAGACACACACACACACACACACACACACAGAGAGAGAGAGAGAGAGGGGGGGGAGCGAGGGAGCGAGGGAGCGAGGGAGCGAGGGAGACTGAGACTGACTTTTTGAGATAGAGTCTCTCATTGAACCTGGAGCTCGCTGGCTGCATGGCCAGCGGGACCTACAAAATGCATAACACTTCATCCCTTTATTGGTGTTATATATTCATAGGTGGTAGGGATGCAAACTCAGATATTTATGCTTACACAGCTTATTAGTCATAGAGCGCTCTCCCAGCCCCTAAAAGAAAAGTATGCATATAGATATCTACAGAGAGAGATATTAATATAGAGATATAGATTTGTTTGTTTGATTTTGGTTTCTGAAACAGGGTTTCTCTGTGTAACAGAGCTGGCTGTCCTGGAATTAACTTTGCAGACCAGGCTGGCCTCGAACTCACAGAGATCCACCTGCCTCTGCCTCCCACGTGCTGGGATTAAAGGCATGTGCCACCATACCTGGCTAGAAAAGTGGTTTTTTGAAAATTCCTCAGTTACACAGTCCAAGAGGTCCATGAGGCTGGTGACTGCTGCACTCACTGTGTCCAGCAGGGTAAATACAAACACTTGCACCCCTGCAGGAAGCTGCTGCAGAGCACTATGCTAAAAGGGAATAAGCTGATGGTCTGAGAAGAGTGATGAAGCACTGCCCTGCAGCAGTGGAGATTACCTTTCCTCTTCCACCTGCTCTTTCTCCCCTCTTTGTTGCTGCCACCATCACTGCTGCTGCTGTTCTCAGAGCTCTGAGAATCTGACTGACCATCACTGCTTTCTTCTGAACCTTCTGACAGCTCTTTCACTCCATCTGGCACATCTTTCTGAAAATGTAGGCATCCTGTTAGGATTATTACCGTTTTCGCAAATGGAAACTAAATTTCTAATACGTAATGCAGTAACTTAATTAACTGATTAATTTTTACTATTATAAGATAGTAAACCCACCAATATTTGCTGAAATCCTGATACTTCCCTTTTTTAGGTCAAATAAGTTAATTTTCCATCTACATCCAGAAGATAAAAATTAGACACAACATTCATATGCAGGCACAACATATATTTAAATTACACCAAAACTGGTAGTTATAAATCCAGGTAAAAGATATAATGTTCAAGTTTAGACACATTTGTGTGTAGGTACCCTATGTATTCTAAATTCAATTATAGAATTAAAGTCAGGAGAACAAGATTATCACATTATTTTCACCTAACTGGGTCCTCAATATTCACTAAAGAGTAGCAGCAAGAAAAGGAGTTTTTGTTTTGTTCTTTATATGTTTTGTTTTGGTCTTTTGCTTTTTGAGACAGGGTTTCTCTGTATATCAGTCCTGGCTGTCCCTTTGTAGACCAGGCTGGCCTCGAACTCAACCTTCGTGGATCTGCCTCTTGAGTGCTGGGATTAAGGGTGTTGGACACCACCACCCAGCCAGTTTTTGTTTGTTTTTTTTTTTAAAGAAGCACATCAATCTCTTTAGTTTTTAACTCTAAGTAATGAGAATGTTAACTAGAAAGGATAACTAAGACCATTTAATATGAGAAAAAAAGGGTAGTAGCATATGATAGGCAAGGAAAGTAGGGCTTTCTGGCTTTATATTCTCCCAATTACACAGCCTTAGTCTAAATTAATCTCTCACACTTCAATTTCACTTTCTAAGGTGGGGTATTAGTACCTACCATAAAAAGTCATATAGAAAATAAATGAGCTAATTAATATTAAATGTTCACAATAAATAGTGCCTTGACGAGGGCTCAATATTAGTTACTATGTATTTACCTAGTATAAAAAGCATACAAATAATGGAAATGTTATTTCTCTAATGGATTTTCTTTCCACCTGCACTTTGTTGTCCCAAATACTTATTAAAAAGTGAACTGACACACAAAAAAACTGCCCTACATCTAACTAGCACCACATGACATATAACCAAGACTATTAAGTCCGACTGAATAAGAACAGTTATTTTCCACTTAAATTGCTCTTCAATCCATCTCTTATGTTATACACTTTCTTAAAATACAGACCCCATATTTTTATATTCCTTCCTTCAAAATGCAGGACAGCTTTTATAGAGTTAGTTGCCAGCCAGACATCTTGACCTGTAGGTTCAACAAGTATCTGAAATACAAATATAATTATCTTCTTTTTGCAAAAAACTTGTGATCCCTCTGGGATCAATGGCTCATGCCCCAAATTTTAATATCTTTTTTCTCATCCACTGTTTTACACATATCAGACACAATGTGTTCTATGCCTCAAATGTCTCTTGGATCTACGTGAGTTCCTACTCCAAACTGCAATTTCCTTTTCATGAAAATCTTAAAATATATGATTTGATTACATGGTTCTTCCTAAAGACCACTGCCATCTACTTATTCAACACCCCACCCAAACACAGAGCTCAAATCAGGGTGGAACTATAATTAACTCATGTTCATCAATTATCACAACTCCAGTGATTATCACTTAATCCAATTTTCTCTTTCAAATTCATTATTTTATCTGTCCCTTCATTTGCTCTACTTATCTTTGAAGGCCTTCACTCCTTTTATGAATATGTTCAAGCCCAGCTTAAATCTTACAAGTAAATAACACAAACTTTCTAGACCCCTTTACCCAAAACTAATCTTTATTTTGCTTCATTATAATGGTAGTTTCACAATATATTTCATAAATATAAAATATTTTGATTATTAAAATGTGAGCATTAAAGAGATCAGAAACTACAGATTATCCAACAATCTCTTTATTTCGGGCATAGGTTTGACAATATGATAAGACATATTATTTGAACTCAAGTTTTTTTTTTCTTTAAAGATTTTATTTATTTTATGTGTGTGAGAGTTTTGCACCATGTGTGTACAGTGCCTGTACATAATAGAAGAGGCCATCAGGCTGGAAACTAAATCCTGTTCCTCTTTAATATCAGCAAGTACTCTTCACTGCTGTCCACAATCAACTATGAGTTCTTGATATATAGAGAGCGCCAAAACTTTTGTACTTTACTGACCAATAGCAGGATTAGGAAAACCTATTGTTCTGCTATTTGGTCTTTGACTCTAGTTGAGGAAACAGAGCATCCAAATGAGTTAACACCTCCTAAGTATTAAGAGTCTGTTTAGATGACTGTCTGCTACTGAATGGCCCGCTTTGGAGTGGAGGCTGACTTCTAATCGAGACAATTATGTGATTATAAAATTGGAACTTTAAGCCCAGCTTCTCAAGGATGAAGGTTAAGTTGATGGTCAATAACAGAATCATGCTCATATCACAAATCTTCCATAAAAACTCTAAAGACCAGGGTTTTGGATGAGCTTGCACATGGCTAAAGTCAAGTTTGTGCTTGGGGCTGGTTTGCCAAGACAGATTCCATACTCCGTGATCACACCTCACTTTATAAATGTCTTTTATCTACATTTCTTCCTCTGACATCTTTCATAATCAGTCCTAGAAAGTTAATCAAATCCAAGGATAAGGACATGGGAACATCAATTATAGCTGGTCTATCAGAGCTTAGGTCACAACCAAAGACTTGTAACTAACAGCTCAAGTGAAGGATAACCTTTGGTACTGGGCCCTTTGACTGACACAATAGCCAGACAGTGTAAAAATTGAGTTAAATTAAAAGGCACCTAGCTGATTACAGTTGGAGACCTGCTTGATATGTGGAAGCTTCCAAACACCTCGTATCAGAAGAACTGTACTAAGTGGTATGTAATAATAAAAAATACATTTTGGGGTTTTCTTCCCATCTCTACAGCACAGTATGCATTTAATGAATGCAATTAAAATCATGGATGGTCTACAATAACTAAAATATCAAAACTGAAAGTAACAGCTTCATCTGGAACTAAAGTCCTATAACACCCACAAGTTAAATACTGCAGAGAATCAGAAGAAGTTAATATTAAAAAGCAGACAAGGGTTGAGCTATATTGCAGATTGGCCTTGAGCACACTCTGGCTCAGAGTGATCTAAAACTGGACATCATGCCATGCCCTCCTGAGTACTATGACAGTACTATGACTGATAACCACGTGCCACTACATTCAGCTACTAGTTGTGAGGATTTGTTCATCTTTTTGTTTTGTTTTGAGACAGGATCTTACTGTGCATCACAGGCTTGCCTGGCTAGAACTCAGGGATAACTACATCTGCCTCCTGAGTACTGAGATTAAAGGGATGCATGGCCACCACACCTGGAAGATGTTCGTGTTTTGTGTTCTGTTTTATGTTATTTACTGTGTAATTATGGGCACCTGTATGCCATAGCACACACATGAAAGTTAGAGGACAACTTGTGGGAGTCGGTTCTTTCCTTCAATTATATGTGCCCAGGGGAACAAAAACAGGTTGCCAGTGCCTTTAGATGCTGAACCATCTCAGCACCCCATGCTAGATGTTCTTAATGTTAGTGGACTCTATAATACCACTGAGCATTGTGATGAGCTCTGAGTAAAAGGTAGTGGGACAGAGGTCCCTATGGATGTGTCACTTTGGGTAATTGTCTGCCAAACATTCATTCTGGTTTGCTGATAAACTGCCTTTGAGAAACAAACCCTCTCCTTAATTATCAGGCTGTCACAAGCTTAACCACAACCTTACATCAAGGGTGATAATGATACATATGTCAATAGCCATAATTCATGTATGGTGTTCACATGGGTTGGGCCAAACCAAGTAAGTAAAATCTTAATGAGGTGGGAGCCTCTTGCTTTAGTCACTGGACTCTTGTCTCTCTAGACTTACAGTTTGTAGAATGGAGACGCAGAATGAATTCATATACGATGAGGAGAGGCTGACTGAGAATAAAGCTAAAAGAAAGAACAGAGACCAAGACCAGATGACATCTTTTGATCAGCTGGATCCAGCCTGGATTTCCCACGAATGTTTAGCTGCATGAGCTAATAAATTCTCTAGCCTACTTACTAAGCTCATTTAGATTGGCTTTCCTACTCATAAGTGAAAAGGTCACCATTTCAGTGTACAAATTAGATATCAGCCAGCTTGTTATGGAAGAAGAAATGTGGGAGTTAAATCTGATCAAAGTTCCTATTCTTTTTTGTTTGTTTTTTGTTGTTATTGTTTTTGTTTTTCAAAACAGAATTTCTCTGTGTAACAGCCTTGACTGTACTGGAACTCACTTTGCAGACCAGGCTAGCCTCCAATTCACATAGCTGTGCCCGCCTCTGCCTCCGGAGTGCTGGGATTAAAGGTCTGTGGCACCACCACCCGGATCAAAGTTCCTATTTGTGTTCTGATACAATATGGCCAACACTCATCAAGAAATTATGTCTTTTGAACTTTAGTTTTCTCCATTATAAAAAAGGAATAATAACCTTTAGTGGGGAATTCCATGAGTAAAGAATCTATAGCTCTACAAAGTATGTTTCAAAATAATTCCCAATTTGTAATGTAAATGTTTTGAAGATGTTTAAAACAAGAAACATCGGCTAGAGAAAGGGCTCAGCAGTTAAGAGCACCAACTTCTCTTCCAGAGGACCCAGGTTCAATCCCTAGTACCCACATAGTTGCTAACAACCACCTGTAACTCTAGTTCCATGGAATCCAACACCCCCTTCTGGAATCCATGAGTATTGCATATATGTGGCACACAGACATACATGCATGCAAGACACCAATACACATAAAATCTCAAAAAAAATTATTTTAAATAAGAATATATACAATAGGTGCCTTCTTAGTATTCATGACCCCTGAATTCAACTCCCAGAACACCTCCCTCCCCAAAATTTATTTACTTACTTATTTTAGGGTTGAAATATTATTTCTTCCTAGAAACAAGTTCCTCAAAAACAGAATTCTGTCTGTGTGACTCAATTATTATATATTATCACTTACTATTTCTTGTCTCCCCAGGAACTTACCTTCAAAGTATACACTCCCATTCTACCTGGGACTTTATAGAAGATGCCCTCTTCACCTCGGGAGTTTGTGTGCAGCATTGCATTTAAGCATGCAAGAGGGGAAGTCCCGCTACAAGGCAAAGAAGGTGAAAAGCATAGTGGTTAGATTATCTCTCAATATTCTTTGTAATTCTGGCTTAATTTTTAAATTATCATTATTCTTTTCTTTAAATAAATTTTTACTAACTACAAAAAAAATCAATATAGAAAGAGATCGTCATAGAGAAAATGGAAAAATCATCCTTGAGTATCTAAAGGGGAAAAAAAACCACATAGAGCAATATCAAATTTATTTTTTAAACCTACTTTATTTACACACGAAACAATGTAAGGATACATGAAAGTAGAAAGCATGCACACATGCATTCATACGTGCTCACACTTGTGCATAAACACACAACACACAGGTTCAAATAATATTTAGTAGACTTCTTATTTTGCATGGATTAGTTTTCTTTCCCATTTTCTGAAATTTTAAGTACATAATAATTTACTATGTAAATGCAAAAAAATATTTTCTGGGTGGGACATGATGGCACACAACTATAACAGTAGAATTTAGAAGACTGAGGCCAACAAGTTCAATGCCACTCTTTACTATAAAGCAAGTTACTGCCAGGCGTTGGTGGTGCATACCTTTAATCCCAGCTCTCGGGAGGCAGAGGCAAGCAGATCTCTGTGAGTTTGAGGCCAGTCTGGTCTCCAGAGCGAGTGCCAGGATATACTCCAAAGCTACACAGAGAAACCCTGTCTCGAAAAAACAAAAACAAAACAAAACAAAAGCAAGTTCCTAAGGGGGGAAGAATGCATTTAATTCATTTCCAAGTTGTCATCAGACCTTATTATACTCTTAAGGGGGGGGGGGGCAATAAGATTCACTAATAGGTATCGTTACCATGGTTTGTCATTGCATTAAGGAAATGGGACTAGGATTTGGAAGAAGGCTCAGCAGATAAAAGTACCAGCTGCTGCTCTTCCAGAGAACCTAGGTTCAATTCCCAGTACCCACATGGCAGCTTACAACTATCTGTAACTCCAGTTCCAGGGAATCCAACACACTCACACAAACACACATGCAGGCAAAACACAAATGCACATAAAATAAAAAGCAAATAATTTTTAAAAAGAAAAAGAAAAGAATATGGAGCTAATGTTCTACCTTAAGTCTAATGTTAAGTACTTATACATTAATAAACAGGAACACCAGGCATAGTGACTTCACTCCTTTAATCCCAGCACTCGGGAGGCAGAGGCAGGCAGAATTCGAGACTAGCCTGATCTATAAGAGCTAGTTCCAGGTCCAAAGCTACACAGAGAAACCCTTCCTTGAACGCCCCCCCCAAAAAAAAAATGAAAGAAAGGAACAAAAGGAAGGAAGGAAGGAAGGAAGGAAGGAAGGAAGGAAGGAAGGAATGAAAGAAGGAAGGAAGGTAGGAAAGTGAGAGGGAAGGAACAAAAGAACACCTGAGCGTGGTGACTCACACCTCTAGTCCAGTGGTTCTCAGCCTTCCTTAGTTGCCACCCTTTCACAGTTCCTCATGTTGTGGTGACCCCGACCATGAAATTATTTTCATTGCTACATTATAACTGTGGTTTTCCAATGGTCTTAGGTGATCCCTGAGAAAGGATCGTTCAACTCCATACATTGAGAACTGCTGCTATAGAGGCTGAGGCAGGAAGATGTTAACCTGAGCTACAGAGTAAGACCTGCCAACAACAACAACAACAACAACAACAACACACACACACACACACACACACACACACACACACAAAATGGGGTATGTTATAAACTGTCAAATTGTAGTAGAGGTTAGAAAGATGGCTCGGTAGTTTAGAACACTTGTTGCTATTGCAGAGGACCCAAGTTTAATTCCAAGTACCCATATGGAGTCTCACAAACATCTATAACTCCAGTTCGAAGGGATCCTTCTAACCTCTGTAAACACCAGGCATGCATGTGGTACACACACACACACACACACACACACACACGTAAAATACTGATACATGCCAGGTATGAATGACAACACATGCTTTTAATCCCAGCACTCAAGAGGCAAACCTGGTCTAATATGAGTATTAGGCCAACCACGGATACATTGTGAAACTCCACTTCAAAAAACAAATTCATACACAAATTCTTTAAAATCTTTTAAAAGTCAAATTATAGACTGACCCCCCCAAAATGAGTAAAATTTATGTTCTCAGATGATCAACCCTATGGATTTTATTCAACAGAAAAAAAAAACAAACTAAGAAATAGTCATTAAAATAAAAGCTTCAAGCTGGGCAGTAGTGGCTCATTCCTTTAACCCCAGCATTCAGGAGGTAGAGGCAGATCTCTGACCTGGTCTACAAAGGGACTTCCAGGACAGCTATGGCTACACAGAGAAACCCTGTCTTGGAAAACAAACAAAAGCTTCAAATTAAGGACAGAAATGAAATATAGAAAATAAAGTATGATAGAACATATTCCTAAAAATCAACTGTTAGTCTAAGGTCAAGGGCTATATAGTATTCACAAAAGTAGATTAATATTTTTGTATGATTGATAGAATTTCTTTGGGGACAGAACCCTCATTCTGTAGCTCAAGTCTGAAGTGGCATGGAACTTTAGATGTGTCCACGCTGGCATCAAACGCAAGGCAATTTTCCTAGTTCAATCTCTCAAGCACTAGAATTACAGGTATGGGACACTATGCCTGGCATTTGGTGCTTCAACATTTAAAGTAACGTATTCATGTATCTTAGGAAACAGAAGTAACAAGAAAACATGTTGACAGTTCATATAGAAAGAAGTATACAGAGTCAGGGGATGGTCTGGAGTCTGACTACAGCCTCAAGTAGTTTTGTTTGTTTTTTTTTCTCACAATTATTGAGGAGCAAAACAATTTAAGTGGACATTCTCAACTCATCTTCCTCTCGGCTCTCTGGTGGTGATACTCAAAACACCAAACCAAGTCTACTGAAGCAACGTGGACAGAAGTGGAGGAACTGACATTAAGAAAGGCAGAGACAGGTAGATTTCTGTGAGTTTGAGGCCAGTCAAGGCTACACAGAGAACCCCTGTCTTGAAAAACCAAAAAGAAGAAAGAAGAAAAGAAAGATCTCAGCAGAAGAGCACTGTCTGTTCTTCCAGAGGACCTGGGTTCAATTCCCAGCACCCACAAGGCAGCTAAAACTGCCTTGGATGTCTCTAATGGACATCCTTTGAACTGGGATAATGTGGTATATCAAAGTTACTTGTTTATCATGGTTCTCTTGTGGCAGGATCTTTGATTTTGGTCTGAAGGACACTTTGCAAGTAGTAGTGGCAGTCTCATGTTTGGTCTGTTTTTGGTTTGTTTTGAGCAGGGTCTTAGGAAGCTCTGTATCCAAAATGCTTAGAGATGGCTGAAACACAAAGGGTGCTAGGATTAAAGGTATGATGTGCCTCAAAGCCCAGCTGTTAAAATACAAACACACACACACACACACACACACACACACACACACACATTCCTTGTCCAAGGGTTGGCAAAGTACTTGCCTCCCATGCTTTGTAAGGCCCCCTGGGTTCAATCCCTATTACCAAGGGAGGCGAAGTAAGATCCTTGCCCAATCACCTACACCTACCTTTTACACAAAAGTGAGGCAAAGATGTGAGTTCACGTTCTGTCACTAACTAGCTATGCAATTTTTCCCTGTTTTAATGTCTATGAGACAGATGTCTAAGAGTTTGTGCAAACATAATTCACATGAAATACCTAACTCCCATTTTAGCCATAGTCATTTCAAATATTGGTTTATTATAACACCTAATTTTTTAATCTTATGACAAACAGGTCATAAAATTAAAAAGTAGTTTTGAAGGAAACAGAATGCTTCTTCAATCCTATAATAAAGGTACTGATGACATATTTACTATCTTATTACAGATGATTAGGATGCCTATGGGTTTTTGTTTTGTTTTCCTTTCTTTTCCTGGAGACAGGATTTCTCTCTGTAGCCCTGGATGTCCCAGAACTCACAGATCCCTCTGCCTCAGCCTTCCAACTGCTGGAACTAAAGGAGTGCACCACCACGGCCCAACTGGGATGCTTAAAGTTCTTAAATCCCAAACAGTGTTTGTCTCCAAACTAAGAATAAAACCTAATGGTTCCAGGAAAAGGGGTGCCAATGTGAACACAAAAATTGAAACCCAGACTCTTTGTGAAGAAAATAAATTATGGGTATAATTATACAAGAACTGAACTGGAGACATAAAAACACAGAAATCAGATAAAATTTTATATCACTGTCCTTACTGGGTAGTTATGGCTTATTTAGCAATGTAATTTTTTATAACAAATTGCTTTCTGTGTCTTTAAAAAACTACTTTTTAGAAACTGAACTGGGTCCTCTGAAAGAGTAGCAAGTGCTCTTGACTGGCAACTTCTTGTCCCTCTTGACAGGTTTTGCTTTCTGCTTCTGCAACAGAGCTATCATGCCACACATGGATGTGGATGTTGAAACTTGAGTTTTTAAGTCGCTGTATGAACCAATCATTTAATCAATTACTGATATTTTCTATTAGAAATTCTTTCAGAGAAGTAACTTAGAGTTAAGGCAAATCTTAAGTTACATTAAATGGCTTTTACTTCAAGCCTCAAAAACAAATTCTAAAATAGTAGTGAGTTATTAGGTGGTTTCATGCATGTAGGTAAGACCACAAAAAGTTGGGAATGGTGGTACACATCTCTAAGCATTTTGGATACAGAGCTTCCTAAGACCCTGCTCAAAACAAACCAAAAACAGACCAAATATGAGACTGCCACTACTACTTGCAAAGTGTCCTTCAGACCAAAATCAAAGATCCTGCCACAAGAGAACCATGATACACAAGTAACTACATTCACAGATCATGCACACAAATAACTTAAAATTTTAAATCTTAATTTAGCATCATTCATAACAAAATGAGTATGTTATTATAAATGAGCTTAACAGAGTACTAACTAAAGTTAAGAGAGATTAATCTCAAGCTATAACCAAACATGGCATGTCTATGACATGAAAATACAGATATGGTTCCTGGTTCTCAAGCCT